CTCAAAAATTTAAAAATTACATTTTTTTTTGGAGACTGTACCTATTTTTTAGATTTGCCCATATATTTGGAAAATTTAAAACCTAAATTTAAAGATGGGTCAGCTAGGTTTACGTAAACGAAGTTCTCGGAAAGCGATCTAGGCACTAAAATAGTTTTAGTGGCGTTGAAGAACACCTAAAAGACACCTAATTTCTGCATATATGAATTTCGATAATTTAAAACAAAAATTTAAAGATTGTTCAGCTAGGTGAACAGCGCTAAGCCAGCTTACCCACACATTTTTGCGAATTTCTCGGAAACCAATGGAACACCTAAGTTAAGGCCCTAATTAACACCTAAAAGACACCTAATTCCTAGATAATTGATTAATTACGACTTGGACAGCTAGGTTTACGGACGTCATACAATTTATTATTCAGATATGAAGTTAGAGTTAAAGCGTAAAAACGCATATCTGAGTAATCAGTTGTATTGGATTGGAGCTATATGTTAAAGTGAACCCATTTCGATAATTTTAAGGAATAATTAAGGTAATGTTAAAAAGCCGTTATGTGCAAAATTTTAATAAAATAACTTGAAAACTGAGGCAGTTATTTATAAAATAGTTAAAACTTAATCAAATTTTCAAGTTCCGTTATATCGAAAACCGGAGCCAATCTGGTAAAACGCGGGAAGCCATTGAATTTAGAACGTCCCAATTAAATGAGTTCAACTTTCAAAATCTTTGCTCAAAAGTTACAACTTGCACAGTGTAATTTGAACACAAATTAATTTTTTTGTTTTCTATTTCAGCGATCTAAATGTTTATCCCTCGTCTCACTTTTGAAGCATGAAAATGAATTACACTTATATTTATCGATTCAAATCAAAAAATTTTACTTTTTGAAAGTGTACCTGCTTTTTAGATTTGCCCATATATGGTACCGAAGGGAGAGGTTAACTATCAAAGATTTATACACATAAAAATACATATTTACTTTTTAGGTACATTAATCTACATTCAGGTTAAAATTTTTCGGCAAATATTTACAATTAGAAAATTTAATTTTCAACCCTAGTGTGAAAAGAAGATATTTTATGGACGCTGCCAAATCGACGAAGAGAGGATTAGCGGTCCGCATATATCACCACCTTTATTTTCTACATGATGTATTGACAGACCTGCGAAATGCGCCAACTTCTATACATAAATCTTGCTGTGCATTGGCCATTCATCATTTTGCTATTGTTGTGAACATTTGCATTTTGTCTTAAGTGAATTATTACACCCTGCGACAAAAACCAAAAAACATACGAAAAAATCAATATATTCACAAAATTAGGAGCCAAATATAGTTAGTATAACCCCGTTTTTAATTTGTCTCTCTGGCGTCAGGATTTTTTTTAAAGGGACTTTGAAATTTCTAGAATATGATTGAATAAAAAAATTATTCAAAAGATAGAATAACAATGTGGGTATCAATTAAAAGGAAAAA